AAGGAGTTCAAGAACAAAGGTAATTTTATAAATTATATATCAAATCAAAATTAGTAAAAGTTACTAGATTTTAAATGATGCTTATTCGTAATATCGTTATACTTATGTACGGAATAAGTATTTATAAGATAAATACTTATAAAATTTTTAAATTCCGCTGTAAACTCTGTTCCGTACGGTATATCGAACCCAACAGCCATGTCATCAAGAAACATTGCTCGTATGTCGTATCGATCTATTCGGGCCTAAAGCAGACTTCGTTGTTCAGATGGGCGCTATGTCAGAACAAACCCCAAACATACCACGAGTTTCTTATGCGAGCCCAACAACATGTGATCACCCAAGAGTCCATGTCCGTCCCGACGTTTGGAGTTGTAATGAACTTGTACCAAAAGCCAAGGAAGCAAAACAGAAAAGAGATCCAACAAGAGAGCTCCGGACAGCTCAGGTCTGGGCCCTCTAGAAGCAGTACCAAGAAAATTTGACCACGAGTCTATTCTGCCGGCACAACTGTAGTCTATGAGGTATTGAAGAACAAAGGAATCATTATGGACCCAATATCGCTCAAAGCTGACAAAGATAATCCCGACAAGTCCCGATAATGCCCCTATAATAAATCTCACGGCCATAACATCGACTAGTGCCGCAACTTGATTTCAACACTTTTTAAACTCATCGGTGATCTGCAAATCCAAAATCACGAGGACCGCCGAAGGAACACATGAGAGTCTGGAATGAGGAACAAAACAGATGGATGAAGAAGATGAGAGAGGATTGGAACCAAACTCGAGAAGGGTGAGAGATCCACCCAGAGAGATACTCACGTTCAATTACGGGTGGCAGGAATAAGCAAGTTCGTCAAGAAATAATCACCGATAAAGGCCTTTGTCCGTCTGAGACGACGGAGATGCAGTCCGTATTTCGAACATAAGAACGTCACCTATGAAGTGTATTTTTTTATAGAACTGTAGAGAGTGTTTGTTTTATAGAATGTTTTTTAAAATATGGAAAAATTATATAAATTTTCATACCTCCCTTGGGCCAGTTTCGTTACTAACTTATTGGGCCGGCGACCTACTGGGGTCTGGCCCAAAACTAGCGGGCCGGGTCCTTTGCCCACATGTCCCCCCACTGCCCACTCACATACAAACAATGCTCACTCACTCGTCC